TTAACTAACTCAATATCCATATCCCTTTACTGATGATACCATTGAGTATCAATTGTCTTCATATTGGAAATTCATAACCCAGGGATTTACTGTAATCTTTAAAATCCTAGTCAAATCCTAAAAGCATTATAAATCTGTGAGATCTATATCAAACAATAATCATTAATGTGACAGGTAGATGTCGTGAAGTCCTATAATCTTATAGTTTTTTTTAAGCCAAAGTAAGCTTTTATGAGTTAAAATTTGTGATAGTGCATTCTCAAAGACAATAATGGACCATCTCCAGAAAGTGTGGAGAAATGTGTGATCATAAATCTCTTGATCCTTAATATCCTCCTCCCTGACCTCCTTCCACGTCCAGGTGGAGGGCATGGCTGGTGTGTTGGTGGAAAATCAGTGCATGTGTGAGCTATAACTGGCCCCTATTGTGCATGCCCAAGCTTAGAGTGGGTGTGGGTGTCTTGCAGTTTTAAAAGTCAATTCCTTAATTACAATCAAATAGTTCTCATAGATAGTATACATCCTACTACACAGTACTTTCAGTGATAGTTAATCTATTAGGAATGGATTAAAAATTCAGAAGTTTGAGGGCCAAAGGAAAACACTTCTGATTTAAATGGGATCCAGTTAGGACCTGCTGTAGTTGATGGGTATTTTATTTAACCAGTAATAAAGGACATCATATGTATATACATTCATACCTCTGTCCTAATACTGAGTTTTAAGTTGTATTGAAAAAGCAAAATCAAACTCACTACCATTGAGTCAATGCTGACTCATCGTGATCCCCTGGGTTTCTGAGACCAGACCTGAGACAGCCTGGCCTGCTTCCCTATGCTAATGGCTTTGAATTGCTGACCATGCAGATTGCAGGCAACTCAGAACCACTACACCACCAGGGCTCCTAGTTGTATATGAAGTCCATATGCATTCCTTACCTTGTTGGCTTTCACGAACATCTGGGAGATATTAGGTATAATTTTATTAAAGACAAAGGCTTTCAGGTTATAGAATGAAGACTCCAGGTATAAAATCAAGAGGAGAAAGAATAAACCCATGACAGCCAATGTAATCAAAAACTTTGCAATCCCATGTTCTTCAAAAGTGTAGACAGTGTTCTGAGCATCTGAGGAAAGCAAAGGAGAAGGCTTTGATTTTGAAACTGATATAATGTCTAAGTTACCCTTAAGTGTTAAGGAATCGAGGTTCAAAAGGAACTTTAGACAAGATTTAGAAAATTATAGAATACAGAAAAATGAACAATTATGCTGATATCTTATTTTTCTCTTATTTGACCTTTCCTTGATACTTATTGTTTTCCTAAAGGTTATTCTAGTAATTATTTCCCCCTAGTTTTTGCCAATTATTGATAAAAACAACCCTGCCATATCTTCTGTGAATTTCAGAAGCTGAGCCCTTGCAAATAGAGTGTGTAGTGATCAAATAAAGTATAGAACATAAAAGTATTTATGGCATAGCTCCCCATTATTGCAGGAATGCAAATATCTTTATAGTCCTTGAGAAAGAAAATATTTTATTTCATATTTATAATTTGTTCTAACATGGTACTATTCATGAGGAGGAGAACCACAAAATAGCTAATATAGAAGTAGGTAATAGCTCTTTACCACAGAGAAATTTAGTCAATATAAACCTAACTCTCTGCCATCAAGTCCATGCCCGACTCACAGCAATCCTACCGGACAGAGTAGAACTGCCCCTGTAGGTCTCTAGGACTGTAACTCTTTCTGCAATAGAAAGCCTCATCTTTCTCTGGAGGAGCAACTGGTGGTTTGGAACCGCTGAGCTCTCTATGAGCAGCCCCACACATAAGTCCGAAATGCCATGAGAGCTTCTCAGCCAAATACGGACAGCGGAAATCCTGATAGGATAATATGAGGCCACTGTGAAACGTAAAGATGACTTTTCAAAATCCTAAGAAAAACACTTTAGAATTGTGCTTTCTGACTGATTGGTGCCAGTATATAGAAATGACATGGATTTATTTCATTTATTTACAAGGTAAAATACACACACCAAAGTTATCATTTAAATAATTTAGAAGTGTACAATTTAGTGCCTTCAGAACATTCGCAGGGCCGTGTAGCCATCATCACTGTCTAGATCTGGGGCCGGCAATCTTTTGAGACACGAGAGTCAATCCTGTCACTCACCACAACTTAAATATTAATTGAGAGCTGTAAATACATTTTTACTAACAAATAAAATCACCATTATCTGAAAAATATAGCCTTTGAGATTTTTCAATTCTGCTTCAGAGCCACATATTCATACTGAAAGAACTACATATGGCTCCTGAGCCCTAGTTCAACAACCTTGGAATCTAGATCAATGTTTCCCAAAGTAGGTGACACTGACCACCCCCTACCCCCGCCCCCCACCCATGGGGCGGGGAGTGTGTGTGTGTGTGCTGGAAAGATCCAGGGGGACTGCAAAAGCAGATGCCTACACTTTATCTGGCATTGTGGGCTATGGTACAAAAGATTTTAATTGCCAGGGGAGTGTGAAGTAATTTTTTTTTCCCCAGAAAGGAGGAAATAGGCTAAGTAGGTTTGGGAAATCTCTGGCTAGCTCCAGAACATTTTTATTATTTCCATAAGAAAACCCATACTCAATCACTCCCATTGCTCCTCCTCTCACTGGAAAGCATTACTGTCTCCCCCTGCAATGGATTTGCCTGTTCTGCACATTTCTTGAATGCATTTAACATAATGCTTTCCAGGTTCATACATGCTCTATCAATACTTACTTTTAAATGGCTGAATAGCATTCCACTACACAAATGATACCACATTTTGTTTATGTCTTCATCAATTGATAGGTACTTGAGTTATTTATGCATTTTGGCCACTATGAGCAGTACTGCTGTGCTTGTTCCTGTACAAGTTTTGTTTGGATATTTTGAGTTATTTTGGATATTTTGAGATTGCGGGGTTATATAGTAATTCTAAATTTAACTTATTGAGGACCAACCAGATGGTTTCCCATGGTGGCTGCATCATCTAACATTTTCAACACAATGTATGAGGGTTCTACTTCACCCAAACCTGTCTTCTTTCGCTGTAGCCTGCGAGTGAGGGACACTGACGGGATAACTCATTGTGGTTTTGATTTGCGAGTTCCTAATGACTACCGGATGCCGTGTTGAGCTTCTTTTTTCATCATGTACACGCTGACCAGTTTTCTATCTGCTTTGGAGAAATGCCCATTCGAATCCTTGCTCATCTTTCAGTAGTTTTTTTTTTTTTTTTTTAGTTGTAAGAGTTTTTTTAATCTATTCTAGAATCAGGCCTTTATCAGACACATGATTTGCAAATATTGTCTATTCCATGGGTTGTCAAGCCACTCTTTTAATAATTAGCATTTGACACGTAAAGCTTCATTTTAATAAAGTTCAATTATGACTGCACTTTCTCTCATTGCATGTGCTTTTGGGGTCAGATCTAGGAAACTAGTGACTAATCTAAGGTCATGAAGATTTACCCCTATGCTTCCTTCTAAAATTTGTATTGCTTTACTACTTATATTTAGGCATTTGATATATTTTAACTTAATTTTTCTAGATAGTGTGAGGTAGCGGTGCAACTTCATTCTTTTGCTGTCCAACTATCCTTTTCTTTGTTGAATAGACTATTCTTTGCCATCAATCCTGCTGGCACTGCTGGTTAAGTGAATATATATAGGTTGCTTTTTTTAAAACCTCTCATACCCTAAATTCTATATCATTGGCCTTTATGTTATCTTTGTGCCAATATCATACTGTCTTGCTTATACCACAGCTTTATAGACAATTTTGAATGAGGACCCATGACTCTTCCAATATTATGACTTTTCAAGAATGTTTTGGTGACTGGGGCAACCTGCAAATATATAAGGATCCCTGGTGGTGTAGCATCGGACTGCTAACCACAATGTCAGTGAGTCAAGGCCACCCGCCACTCCGTGGGAGGAAGATGAGGTGGTCTGCTCCTATGAATACCTGTAATTTTGGAAACTCGAAGGAGTCATTGTACTCTGTCCTGTAAGGTCACTGTGTTAGGCTGGGTTGACCTAGAGAAACCAACCAGTGGCACTCCTCTATGTATAAAGGAAAAACCTTGTATCAAGAAGTACTTTTAGATCATGAAGGCATTCCAGCCATAAGTTTGATGCTAGATGGGGCCGTCTTAAGACTCACACAACTGCAGGCAGATGCAGAAAGGTGAAACCGAATGCAGGAAGATCATAGGCCTGTGGGTGCAGGGTCAAGTGCATCAAAAGTCAGGTGGTCCACATGGGGCTTCCCCTGGAGACAGGCATAGGATCCCAGCAGGCAGGAAGGAGAAGGGTCAGAGAGAGAGAGGGAAGTTCCCAGTTTCTCCTTTATAAGAAGGCCACACCTCCAAGCGGACATCATCAGCCCATGTCCTGATTGACAGGTTGCACACCACGCCTACACTTTCATACAAATTCAAGATGACACAAATTTATTCAACTACCACAATTACTATGAGTCAGAATTCACTTGATGGCAACTGGATTTGCTTTGGGATTTTTTTCCCTAGGATTTTGGATTAGATTTTCTCTATCTTTAATAAGGAGATGTTAAGAGTTTGATCGAGATTGCTCTGAATTTGTACATCACCACGGGAATAATTGCCTTGTTAACAATATTAAATCTTCCAATTCATGAACACAGGGTATCCTTCCACTTATTTAGGACTTCTTTCATACTTCTCCACAATATTTGCTCTTTGTATTGTACAAAACGTGCACTTTCTGATATGGAAGGGCTTACTTCTGTCATTTTGCTATTTGTTTTCCCTATGTTAAATCTTTTTTTGTTTCTTAATTTCTCCATTACTATCTTCTATTTTCCCCCCATTGTACTATTTTGATTCTCTTCTCATTTCCTTTTATGTACATTTAAAATGACCTTTTCTTAGGGAAATACCCAGATTACAATACACATTCTAATATTGTATCAATCTAGTTCAAATTTACATGAACCTATTTTCAATCTCACTGCTGCTAAGTTGATTCAAATTTATAGTAACCCTACCATATAGAAAAATTATGCTGCTGTATAGCTATTTCCCATCCTTTTCTTTTTCACAAATTGCACCTTCATACTTTTATGCCCAAAGTCAGTGGAAACGTTGGGCATAAAATTATTGCTTTATGCATGTCTTTTCAGCCATATAGGAAAATAGGAAAAATAAGAGATTTTAAAACAAAAATACAATATAAAATGCAATAAAACTAGCTATTATGTTTATCTCTGTACTTAATCAGTGTTCTTTCTTCCTTCATATGGTTTTGAGTTACTGTCTTGCGTCCTTTCATTTCAGTGGGAAGGGCTCCAGTGAGGGTTTCCTATAAGTTTATGTGAACTCCCTCAACTTTTTATTTAGTTATGTCTTAATTTCTCTTTCACTTTGGAAGGATAGTTTCATCAGATGTAAAATAATTGGTTGGCTGTGTTTTTCTTCTAGTACTTTAAATATGTCATCCCACTGATTCAGGACTCCCGATTTCTGATGAGAAGCTGTTAATAGCACCGAAGAACCTTCGTATGTAAAAAGTAAAGGTTTGGACCTTTTTCAGCTTACCCTATTTGTTGTTTGTTGAGGTTGTTGGATGCTTATATTCATGTCTTTCTAAGAATTTAGAATGTTGGAAGTTTTTGCCATTATTTCTTCTAGTATCTCCCCCCCACACACCTTTTCTTTCCTGTGGGTCTCTCATAATATTTATGGTGATATGCTTGATGGTGTCCCCACAGCTCTTGGCATTGTTCATTTTTCTTTTTCCTTCTCAGGCAGGATAATTTTATGTCAACTTGAATTTTATGAAAGTGTATCGGTGGAATCCAGCCTGATAATCAGGTCACAGGCTGATGATGTCTCCTTGAAGGGTGGCCTTCTTATACGGGAGAAACTAAGAACTTCCCTTTCTCTGCCCTTTCACCTTCCTGCTTGCTGAGAACCTGTGCGGCCCCATGTGGGCCACCTGACCCTGAGAGTTGTTGACACTCGGACATGTTTCTACTGACCTTGGATTCACTTGAATTTACACCTAATATTTGGGGCATACTTTAAAAACATGTTTTTAAGATTTATTTAT